CGACTGTCTCGACATAGACATTGAGCCCCTGCTTTAATTGTGACCTCCCTCCGCTCGTTACGCTTGTGGTTGTTCAAATTCTTGTGAATGACACTTAGGAATATTGACAGGTATCATTCTGACTTCCTGTCAATCAACCATTACAGTTTGTGAAAAACCCCAGCTGCATAAATTCTCGGACAGTGACAACAACCCTTATGTTTCGATAAATAAAGTCCGTTTTGAGAACGTTTGAGATACTTCTCGATTTATATTATACTCACGCAGTAAACATGTAAGAGCATCCTGCATTTTATCATCAAAGTTATTTATTCGTCTTAATAAATAACAAATTTCTTCATATAATGGTTGGAATTTGTTTAAATAGTTAATTTTTTATTGGTTTAGATGCCAACTTTTGACTAATTTCCTGATTGTCTGAAATTGTAAATCTACATTTTATATAAATAATATGTGTATGTTTAACATTTCCTATCATTTGTTTAACAATCTTAGGTCTGTTTTCATATGGACAAACGGAGAATAATGTATAGATTTATCTATCCAAAATTTTTAAAAATCACAATAAAAAATCAATAAAAACACACAATTTTGTACTAAAAATTAGATTATTTTGAAACCGGTTAACCGAGACTTAAAAACCGGATAACCCGGTTAACCGAAAACCAACGTTAAAAAAAAAACGGTTTGCGAAAAACCGAAATATGCAATAACAACCGGGTTTTCGGTTAACCGGTTTATAAACACTACTATGGAGTATATGATCTGTTTAGTAGTCCTATGGTATGCAAACTATCTCACCAAGGTTGGCTATGAAGTAACTGCGAAAAAACAGTTTCTCTTAGCGGCTAGAGCAGGACATTCACAGAGAAGATGGAAGACAGTTTCTTCCTTTTCCCTGCAACTGCGACAGTACTCGTTGCAGGGTAGCCCAAGCCGACTTGCATATCTGCCTAACACTCAGTGTCTTGTTATTACTGCTATCAACCGCGTATTTCGGGTTATAATGTGTCTTGTGCATTTCTCATTGAAAGAAGGCTTCAATGCCTTCCATCTATCTTCAGAATGTGAGGATACTGATCTTTGTAATACCTAACGGAATTGCTACTGAAACGGAGTTGGAGATATCAAGAGCTGATCCCGTTCTACCCTATGCACAGGGATCCAAACAAAGACAAGGACAGATCATTCTTGCGAATATTCTTAGTGGAAGAATATTTCTATGTTGCCGCGAATATTGAGATCATGTAGTACCCTACAGACTTGATTTAAATAAGTACACATGTTTAAAATTTTTCGTTAGCAAAATTAAAAAATGGTTTGATTTGTTCTCAAAAGAGAGAATATTTTAGATATCGCTAAATTTATAAAAAAGTAGTCTATTTTTGTTAAAAATGTTGTTATTATAGTTCAAAATTAAGTTCCCGGAATCCCGGGAAATTAATTTTTTCATTCCCGTTTCCCGGGAAATTGAAAAGGTCGGGAATTCCCAAACTCTAGCTAGGAATTTGCAATGTACATCAAATGAAAGCTCATTTTATCTCCTATGCAATTTTTCAGATTATATGTTGTGTTCATATCGTAAATTAAAGAGAAATTCTTATATTTGCATAAAAATCATAAATAAAAATCACAGCTTTTCGAGATGGCGCTCAATGGATTAATGAATGGAGTTATGGTGTACATCGTTTGAAAGCTTTTCAAAGGAACTTTCGAATGATATATAAAAAGTCAAATTTGCGGAAGATATTCTACATTATATTATAAATCATTAAATGTCTGTAACTCCTAAACCAAAAAAGAGCAAGAAAAATGTTTTACAACAAACAATTGAATCATTTCAAAAAATGAAGAGAGCAATAGCACGATTGTCAAATTTGTCATCCGTATTTTTTCCCAATGTATGATGGTTTCATTACATATTGCGTTTAGACTATACCATCCGTTCTCTTCTACACAATATTTTGACAGATCATATTACTTGTGGTATAATGTAAAAGTAGCTTTATTATTGTTGCAACAATTTAAAGGTGGAAGTACACAACACGCGTTGTACGCGACAACGCGTTATAGGCTTCTGTCAAAAAAAGTTTAAATAATTCATTTAACAAGTTACACATTGTCTTCCGCGAAAAGTTCAGACACTTTTGACGCGTCGGCAGCTGATCAGGGTTGTATTTTGTTTTGTGTAGAGTAAGAATAAACTAAAATGAAATAAATTCGCCAACGATGAAAAAAAATATTAAAAAATAAACCAAAACTGAAAATTTTGATTTTTAAAACAGCAACAGTTAAACAAAATTAAAAGAAAGATTAAAATGACGCGTGGTGTGTAACTTGCAGCTTGTAAAGCGCGAAAAGTTTAAAAAGCGTATAACGCGTTGCCGCCTCAACGCGTGTTGTGTACTTAAGAATTATAATAGTACATGGACAATGAACGCGGTATGCGGCAATCAGCTGCTCGGCTTGCCGCTTGAAAATGTTGGTGGTAACGAGTCAAAAGTGACGCTTAATTGAATTTTAGAATTAGGTTTTTATACTAGTATTTTTAGTATCTACTAAAACTAGATAAAATTCTACATCAGTGCGTGAAATTTCAAATATATAAGTTATAAACTGTCTCCGTAGTATTGACAGTCAGAAATATATTTATATTTTTATATAAAGTAGTAAAAATTGACATTTAATAAAAATGGAGTGCTTGTTTTTAAAACTAAACATTAATAAAGTCATACTTTTAGAATTGGAACTTTAAAATCAAGTATTTAAATGTATAAAAATGATTTAGTATTATTAAAAATATATCGTGACTCTATGTTCAAAAAGTGCGAACAACATATTTTAAAACTTCAAATTTATTTAAAATTTATTTTGTATATTAACAAGATGAACATGCTGAACACAAAACAGGCGAAGATTAATAAATTGAATGTATAGTTTTTAAGATATGATCATTTATATATTTGTATATAAAGCCAGTTTTAGACATTAAATTTTCGAAAAATTTTAAGTTATTTCAGAAATCGTTTATAACACTAAGATCTATAATATTCTATGGTTCCAATTTAGAATTTTGATTATAAAAAAGTCTTTAAATGTGCAAATTATGGAGTATTATTCAAAAAATATTGGTACTTTTTATATTCATTCGATTTTTTAGCCTTATTTTTGACAAAACTTTCATTTGTTCAATGTTATATTTATATTACATTGTACAGTAATATTATTACACCCTGTAACAATTTTGAAAAAAAGCTTTCACACATGGAAAAGTTGATATACATGTGATTCTAGATTCCATTTATAGCAATTCTGCGTACTCCGATTTTTATAATCAGCTCTTATGTTCTTATAAAAGGACCTTAAAGTTTAAAGGACTTACAATTTCAAACGAATATTTTAAATATTTATATGTATTATATGATGCTAATATTGGTATTAAATGAAAGCTGGGAATCTATCTGTGTTATTTATTTGACTCATTTAGAGAAAAAATCAAAAAAGAAATTAAATTTAAAAAGGACTCATTTTCGAAACAAAAATTTTTAAGTACTTTTTTGTGACAAATTTTCTTTAAGCTTCCATTTCATTTTTAATCCTGGTGAATTGAAAAAAATCATATTATTTTGAAGCAGAGGTTCTCAGCTTCATTTCATATTAATATTAATTCCAACTTTTTTATATAAATTTGGAATTCCATCTTTTGAAATCGTATGTGCTTTAAACTTCAAAGTCCTTTTACAGGAGCATAAGAGCTGATTATAAAAATCTGAGTACACAGAGTTAATTCTAATGGTCCACAGTTTCCTGTACACATAGATTTTTTCATGTGTGGTTACTTATATATTAAAAGACAGGTAAATTATTAATTTATGTAATTTCAAATTCTATTTATAAATTTATGGCTTTTGACTCAAAGTTGTATCAATAGTTCGAATTTAAAAAAAGTGACAAAAATGCAAAAAAAAAATAAATAGTTTTTTTATGTGTTTTAGTAAAATGGATTATTTTTAATTTTAGGATGGTTATATATCAAAGAAAAAATTAAAACAAAAATTATTTCGTAACTTTTTTCAAAAAAGTTGAAAAATGTCAAAAATTTATCAAAAACTACATAAATTTGGATTTTAAGTTGATTTTTGTTCTTCATATATAAAAATAGAGGACTTATTTTTTAATTATTGAATAGTACATAATATATGCTCTCATTTGCATTTTATTTTGAGAAAATATCGCTTTTCGTTTTAAAGCTACAGCGAAAGTTTGGAATCAAGTCAAAATTTCCCGAAAAATAAATATACATATAAAATCCAAAAAAAAAATTTACTATACATTTTTTTTTTGCCTAAAGATGCCTTTTAATGTATTTTTACTTGTTTGTTAAAAAAAAGATTAAAATATATTAAAATTACGGCTCCCCCGAATTACTGGCCACTTTAAATCACATCGAACCCACTGTGGGCCATGCGGAAAAGTTGAACAATATTCAACAACACGACGTGGTAATGTTGGCTCATCATTGCCAAATCAAAATATTCGTAAGAGTCAATATTTTTATATAAACAATTTGGTAAACACATTAATTTTATTAAAGCTATTAATTTTATTAAAGCTATTAATTTTATTAAAGCTATTAATTTTATTAAAGCTATTATTATGCCGCTTGAAGCCGCATTGATCGGCCCTGCAACATGACATTTTCAACGCTCACAAATAAAACTATCATCACCGTGGAATAAGTCTTTATTTATAAATTAAAGGATCATAAACAGAACTTGAAAAAAAACGAGTTTAATAATAAGGCCTCTAACGTATGTATACTTTTAAACAATTGTGGTAAATTTTATTCCAGTTGAAGGTGGCAAATCCGAGAATAGCTGATTTCTGTTCGTTTTGATATCGTTTCTTCCAATTTGTTAAAATGTCTAAATTTAATCTACCATCTCCGGTGCTGTGTATATTAAAAAATAATTGTGGATCATAATTGAATTCCAACTTACATGTGTTCAAATTCAGGCGCATCCGTATCAATGCCCGTGTAGTCAGATTCCGCGCACAGCTCTTGTGCAGAAACAAGAAAGAATATTTGTGTTGGTGTTAAATTTAGTCCTGGAAGTCTAGCCATTCCTTTTATTGGGCCTGTTAATGATAGCATTGAGTGATATGATATTTGCATTCCCCCAGAGTGTATCAATATATCCATACGGCTATAGTTGGAAAATATATTAACAGATTTTGGGACGCATCGCATCGCCTTATCTTCAAATGCTTTTGTTATTGACCTTAGTATCTCCTTAGCTATTGCAACTCCAACTGAAGCATATTGCAAATACGGCGGAAGTCTTCCATCAAAGTACGGAACAAGGATCACCGATAGCGGTACAACTGTAACACAAAAATGTTAAAAATAAATATTTTATTTCAGTGTGATTACACAGAAAATTTTTTCATATGAACAATACAGATGCCTACAAAATATCGATTTATTAATATTGTTCATTAGAGTCTAAAACTAACTGGTGTTAAATTTTAATCCAATCGGATAACATTGGATAACAATTGGGTAAATAATAGGGTGATCGATTATTCGAGATTTTCCAAAAAACGGTTTTCGAATAGTTCGAATAATTGATATTGGAGAAAAACCAGTTGATATTTTTATACCCACCATCAAAAAAGATGGGGGGTATATTGATTTTGTCATTCCGTGTGTAAAACATCGAAATATTGTTCACAGACCACATAAAGTATATATATTCTGGGACCTCGTAAGATTCTAAGACGATCTAGCTATGTCCATCCGTCTGTCTGTTGTTGGCACGATAGCGTCCACAAAAAAGAGATATTGAGATGAAATTTTCCCAAAATATTTTTTTATTGATCAGAAATGTTTGGTATTGAAAATGGGCAAAATCGGTCAACGATTTCACATAGCCCCAATACAAATGTACCCCCCGGAATATTGTGTAAAAAGCTTCAAACATTCACAAATTCGTTGTTTATGAAGCAAATTGCACAAAATTTCGCACAAGTCAGTTCTTTGACCTCCGAAATAAAATTCTGAATTATGTCGGACATAGAACCACAATTGGCCCTACCCCCCATATTGAAAATTACTTTAATTCTGATTACTGGCTTAAACATACGAATATAGCGATGAAATTTGACTCACATAGGTTTCATGCAAGCCAATATCTCTCCACCAAACTATATGTGGATCGGTCCATAATTGACCATATAAGGTCCTCTTTGGAAAATGACTATAATGCTGATTACTGGCTTAAACATACGAATATAGCAAAGAAATTTGACACACGTAAGTTTCATGTAAGCCAATATCTCTCCACCAAACTATATGTGGATCGGTCCGTAATTGATCCTGCCCCCTCCATAAAATTACTTTAACCCTCATTACTGGCATAAAAATACGAGTATAGCGATGAAATTTGACATAAGTAAGTTTCATACGAGTGAAAATCTCTCCACCAAATTTTGTGTGGATCGGTCCATAATTGACCCTACCACCGATATAAGGTCCCCTCCATAAAATTACTTTAACGCTCATTCCTGGCTTAAAAATACGAATATAGCGATGAAATTTCACAGAAGTAAGTTTTATATGAACCAAAATCTCTCTACCAAATTTTATGTGGATCGGTCCATAATTGACCCTACCCCCCATATAAGGTCCCCTTCAGAAAATTACTTTAACGCTCATTACTGGCTTAAAAATACGAATATAGCGATGAAATTTTACAGAAGTAAGTTTTATATAAGCCAAAATTTCTCTACCAAATTTTATGTGGATCGGTCCATAATTGGCCCTACCCCCCATATAAGGTCCTCTTTGGAAAATGACTATAATGCTGATTACTGGCTTAAACATACGAATATAGCAATGAAATTTGACACACGTAAGTTTCATGCAAGCCAATATCTCTCTACCAAACTATATGTGGATCGGTCCGTAATTGATCCTACCCCCCATATAAGGTCCCCTCCATAAAATTACTTTAACGCTTATTACTGGCATAAAAATACGTGTATAGCGATGAAATTTCACAGAAGTAAGTTTTATATGAGCCAAAATCTCTCTACCAAATTTTATGTGGATCGGTCCATAATTGCCCCTACCCGCCCATATAGGTCCCCCTTCAGAAAATGACTTTATCGCTTATTATTGGCGTAAAAATACGAGTATAGCGAAGAAATTTGACATAAACAAGTATCTTAGGATCCAAAACCTTTCCAGCTAATTTTATGTGGATCGGTCCATAATTGACCCTACTCCCTATATAAGGTCCCCTCCATAAAATTACTTTAAGGCTCATTACTGGGTTAAAAAGTAGAGTATAGCGATGAAATTTCACAGAAGTAAGTTTTATACGAGCCAAAATCTCTCTACCAAATTTTATGTTGATCGTCCATAATTAACCCTACCCGCCCATATAAGGTCCCCTTCTGAAAATGTCTTTAACGCTCATTATTGGCGTAAAAATACGAGTATAGCGAAGAAATTTTACACAAATAAGTATCTTAGGAGCCAAAACCTTTCCACCAAATTGTATGTGGATCAGGCCTTAAATGACCCTATCCCGCATATAATATCTCTAACAGAAAATTACTCATTACTGGCCTAAAAACGATAAATTTTGTGGGGATCGGTCCATAATTGACCCTACCCTTCATTTAAGGTCCCCATCAGAGAATCACTTAAACGCTCATTACTGGCGTAAATGAAATTCTTTGCAATTCGACATATACTAATTTTAAGCTAAAATCCCTCTACCATATTTTATGAGGATTGGTCCATAATTAACCTTAACCCCGTATAAGGTCCCTTTAAGAAAATGACTTTAATGCTCATTACTGGCTTAAAAATACAAGTAGATCTATGAAATTTGAAATAAGGAACTGAAATCTTCCTACCGACTTTTGTGAGAATTGGTCCATATGTGTATATAACCCTACTCCCTATATAAATTAACATATTTAATTCGAAAGAGAACTGTCAATAGTTAAACCCCCATTAATGGACCTATTTCAAATATTACAATGATGTTCTCATTAATATCGATACATAATAATAAAATATTCAAAATATCAAAGTTTATTTATATGGCAGTGATTTGATGGTGGGTATATAAGATTCGGCATAGCCGAATATAACACTCTTACTTGTTCAAATTCAGAATAATAACGGTTAACCGGTTGTTTGAACTAAAGGTTTAAACCAATATTTAATTGTATTTTTTTATGAAATATATATTATAAATGAATTTTATTATTGAATTTTTAGTATTAAGTATTTTTGAATTTTGTATTAAACTAATTACTATTGAATTGTTAGTATTTGTAAATGAGTTGTTAGTACTATCAAATGAAATTAAAATTGTACTACCTTAATATTTACATGATAATAAACTAGAATGTTAGTAATTAATATAAAGAAAATAATGTTGTTAACGGTATCTTAGAAATATAAAAGAATTTCCAACAAACTCTTCGGGTTTTGGAATTTAAAAATAGGTTTATTTATGAAAATCAAAAATTTTATGTTTCACTTCTGGCATAGCAACAGAACTATTCAGTTGCAACTTTCAACTCTATTATAAATAAATCACAAATTTTATAACGTTTAAATTTACCGCTTTAAAGTTTTTCTGTTGGTTTTACACAATTGGGTTACCTACATAAGCTACCAACATATAAGGTAAAGTACAACCAACCAGTACATATTTATATTCCTCTAATATATATGTACACATCTAAAATAATCAAATTTACTTTTTTCTCTCCACATTATTACAATAATTATAATCACCAAATGAGTGATTAAAATTATTCATTTTCTCCTTAAGACAAGAACAGTGTTCCTCCGGAGAAAATTTCAAAATAGTTTGCAAAACTCTAAGCAATTTATTTCATGGTCCTTCGAGCCGGCTCCCCCAAAGGGTAGTTACGGACAATGGACGAAATTTCTTAGGTGCTAGTAGAACTCTTGAACGAGAATTTTCTGAATTTGTTAAAAATAGTGCTCAAGATGTAGCACAAAAATATATAACACATGGATTTGAATGGAGATTCATACCACCTCACGCTCCTCACATGGCGGACTTTGGGAAGCAGCCGTAAAAAGTTTCGAAAAAACTGAACTGGTCACCTCAGTACAAAAAGTCGGCACTAACACAAGGAAGATAAAGAACAATCACGGAAAAAGAAAATAACTCAACTCGATCATCATTATGAGGTAATAAGAAAAATTCTCACGCTCAATTACTTTAGTTCAAAGAATATGTCGATGCTGTAAGTATTAAAACAAAAGTAAAAAAAGTAGAAGTAAAACATAAAAAGCCGTCGGCATTAAAGAAATAAAAATACATGTAAAAAGTGAAAACACAAATAAAATTGGAAAAAAACTGAAAAAATTAACAAAAATTTAAAAATAAGTTAAAAAGAATAGTGAAAAGTTAAAGTTAAATGCAAATTAAAGAATTAAAATAAAGAAAATAAAAAAGAAGCAAAAAGTAAAATTAGGGAAAAAATATATGAAGTTAAAATATTAAGAAAAATTAGAAAAAAAAGAGGAAAATTGTGAGAAAATTAATGTGGAAGTGTTTCTAAAAAAAAAAGAAAAAAAAACCATTTATATAAGAAAAATAACAGAAAAAAAAAAACATAAAAATCTAAATTAAAAGACAAAAAGTGCCGTTAAAATTATATGTGTTAATATGGAAAAAAGTGCCGTTAAATTCATGTATTTATGTACATATATAATAAATCTTATAACTACATAACCAAATGCATAAAATATTTATATTATACATAAATACAAAAACAAGTATATAAAACAGAAATTAATATATAAAATGTTCCGTTAAAATCATATGTATTCATGTATTAACAAAATGTTCTAAGAATAAATAATGAAATACATAAATATATTTCTTATATACATGAATACATAATCTCATGCATATATATGTGCATACAAATAAAATTAATTAATCTAAAAAGTGATTTTAACAAATATTGCAAGTGAATAATTATAAATTCACTTATATGTACATACATATATATAGTAACGGAATCTCCATAAAAAATCATACATACTCATTTTAAATAGTTTAAAAAAAACAAACAAATTTGAACGAATACTCTAACTGTATGTTAATTTTCAAAAAAAAAATAAATAAAAAAAAGTTTGTTAATCGGATACCCTAATTGTTTTTTATTTTTCAAAGAAAAAAAAGTATACATACATACATACGCACAAAACAAAAGTTATAAAAAAAAGAGTGAAAAAATTAAGATAAAACAAAAGTTATAAATAAAATCAAAGAGAAAAAAGTGAAAAAACAAAAGAGAAATAATAGAATTGGTTC